TTCAGAAAAATTTGAAAACCCGGCCCAACCCGGCCCAGTCACACATGAGCCCAAACCCGTCCGAAACCCGTACGGGTTGGGCGGGCCCGGGTTCCCAACGGGTTCGGATTCCCAACTTTGCATTCTAATAGAGATTACATTCTTATACATTATTAAACAAAAATTTTATTATTAAACATAAACAGAATTATGAGAAAAACATTGCAAATATTGAATAAAAATTCATAATACTGTATACAACTTTTTTCGGTTTAATTATCATAGACGATTTAAAATATCTTGCAACATTTTGACAAGCATTTTTAAATAATAAGTTAAAGCGTTTATTTAATTACCTTTTAATTACAAATCATTCACACTAGCATGGCCTTTTTATAATGATAAGTAAAATTTGATTTTGTGATACTATCGGTAAAGTTTTGCAAAAACCCGCCATCATCATGGTGGGACGTGTACTCTATATTCATGAATTTGACATTTTCAATGTGCGACTCCGGGAGGCCGGTTATGCTGATGGAGTTTTTCGCGTCACCCGTTATGCCGTCGATTGTGATGTCCTTATATACCGGAGTTGTCTTCTTAAAGGTTTCGGCCTTTATTTCCTTTGGGTAGTTATCCGGGTAAGTCATGTCCATCATTATAAACTCCTTTTTGATGTTGGTCATCTTAATGTTTTTGACCTGGATATCCTGAACTGGGCCTATCGTATACAATAAACAATACATAATAATTATCTTGCTGCTTAAATAACCAAATAGGAAAACTAGTTAATCTAATGGTGGAAATTTCCTTGGTTAGTGTTGCCAAATCCTCATATTTTAATTGGATTCTCCAGAAAATGGGGGTTTAATCCAAGTTTAAATTAATAAAATTACCATTTACAATTATATAATAGATCTATTCATATAATATTCTTAGAATATTCTTGACATTTTTGCTCAAAATTAAAAATTATTTAGATATGTCCATGTTTTAATAGTTTGGAGTTGGCAACACTACCATTTGGACCAATGAACTAACCGCCCCGACCCCGGGCAGACTTTATATAGAATCCCCGATCGGGTCCGTCAAACACGCAGTCCATTACCGTTACATTTCGGA